GTGGTGGTAGCATGATGTTGCCTTAGGTTGGCTTGATTGGTAGTGGTGCTACTGCTTGATTTTTTACAGTGGTGTGATTAGTTACGGTTGTTCAGGGATGCAGTTGGTTATGATGATATAAAAGTTAGATGGATAATTCTAAGATGGTGCTAAGTGCTGATAATTAGTTATTGGTGCATTGGATGTTAGTTATCAGTGAAATGGGAGCTGTCAATTATATAGGTGGTGGTGCTAAGGATGGTACCTAGGTATTATCCTTTTACTTGGAAATTTGAAGGCTGCAAAAATGTTTGTTTTGTTTGTTATTTACTATTATTAAACACTTTGTGTTGTGAGGTCAAGTGATGATGTGGGTTTGAACTTATGGATTTTATTGTTGTTGTGAAACTAATTTACTGGCTTTAGTAACTGGTATTTTTTTTGGATATTATTTATTCATGCAATTATAGTTATCTGCTTGTAGATTGATATGGATACTATAGAAGTCAGCAACCTAAATAGACAATTTTTATTTCGACAATCCCATGTTGGGCAGTCTAAAGCCAAGGCAAGTGCATTTACAGGCATTTTCCTTGTTTGCTTTCACTGGCAGTTATAATTTGATGATTTGTATTTCATCAATTTTTTTATCAGGTTGCTCGAGATGCAGTCTTAAGATTCAGGTCCAACATAAGCATTACACCATACCATGTGAATGTTAAGGACTCTCGCTTCAATGTTGAATTCTTTAAAGAGTTTGATGTTGTTCTGAATGGGCTGGATAACTTGGATGCAAGGCGCCATGTAAACCGTCTTTGCTTGGCGGCTGATGTCCCATTGGTTGAAAGTGGGACTACAGGATTCCTGGGACAGGTTTTTAGGTTTTTACATGTCTTTCTGCAATAATATTTTTTTATTCTTATCTTGTAACTAGGTTGCTTGTCTGGATTGCTCATATTCATGCTTCATCTAATTTTTCTTAGTTTGTGCAAGAATGAATCCACTCGTCTTGATCTATATGCTGTATAATCAATAATCTGAAGTTCCGCTATTTTATGCGACTAATTACTTATTGAAGGAACCTACTCCTAGAACAGGTGACCTGTTCTATCCTATATATGTGTAGCATCTTAAGTTTCTGTTTGGGCAGAACTTGTTTCTCTTGGTAAGTGCTATTTAAGGCTTCATAATTTTTTTAGCATATGGGTCCTATACTAATATTATCAATGCAGAGATGCATCTCTGAAATATGATTTAAAAGTTTTTTGTTTTTATTTTCTTCTGTTGCCAGAAAGCATTACCGTTTTCCTTGGTGTATAATTCCAATTTGAATAGTTTTAAAAGTTCATGTAAGTGCATCAAGCAATATAGAAAAAAAAATTGAAGTGTCCCTTTACTTCTGGTTGAACATGTGCATGTATTTGCTTCTCTTTCTCTATACTTGTTTAGTTACTTAATCTTATGATAGCTTTAGGATCTGAAGGTAAAGGTTTCTTAGAAGTCTTGCCTATGTTTGACTACTGATTTTTTGGTTATTTGGCTTCAAAAACTTGAACTTTTGTGTTTCTTTTGCTTATCAACTCCTCTCTATCTCTCACACACACTATAAAATTATGTTCTAGTTTTACTTCTTCTGTTTTTTGCTTGGCTTCAGCATTACTTTTATGCTATTAATTTGTCTGAATGTTTTTGATGATGACCATGTTGTATGATTATAACTATCCTGGATGCAGGTTACTGTACATTTGAAGGGAAAAACAGAGTGTTATGAGTGTCAGCCAAAACCTGCCCCAAAGACTTATCCTGTCTGTACAATTACAAGCACTCCATCAAAGGTAATCATTCATTGCTGAGAGATTTTCTTTTGGGTGGGGGTATTATAGGAGTTCATTTACTTCTATTGGCTTTGAGCAACCATTAGTCATTAGAATTATGATGATTAAATCTAGTTGTTGTTGCCAAAAAACTGCTATGCCACAAGTTCTAATCATATTGTTTGAATTGTAGTTTGTTCATTGTGTTGTGTGGGCAAAGGACCTGCTTTTTGCAAAGTTGTTTGGGGACAAGAATCAGGAAAATGATTTGAATGTACGCTCTAGTGATGCTGCAAACTCATTGGAACATTCAGAAGATGTATTTGAATGTAGAAAAGACGAAGATATCGAACAATATGGAAGAAGAATATATGATCATGTATTTGGTCATAACATAAAAATGGCTCTATCTAACGAAGAAACGTGGAAAAACCTTAATAAACCACGACCTATATATAGTAAGGATGTCCTGCCTGAGAAACTAACTAAAGAGAATGGAGACATGGAAAAAGGTTGTACAACTGATGATATATCTGCCATGGCATCTCTGGGCTTGAAGAATCCTCAGGATTTATGGAGTCTTGCAGAAAATTCAAGAGTTTTCCTCGAGGCTTTGAGATTATTTTTCTTGAAGAGAGTAAAGGTCAATGTTAATCTCTTACTTTTGAAAAACTGACTGATCATCTCTTCCTACCAAGTTAAGACTGATTTATCTTACCATTTGACAGGAAATAGGGAACCTGACTTTTGATAAGGATGACCAGTTGGCTGTGGAATTTGTTACTGCTGCTGCAAATATTCGGGCTTCTTCTTTTGGGATTCCTTCACATAGTCTTTTTGAAGCTAAAGGAATTGCTGGTAATATTGTGCATGCTGTTGCAACAACAAATGCTGTCATAGCTGGGTTGATTGTGATTGAAGCAATTAAGGTTTTAATAAAGGATAGCAACAATTACAGGTTTAGTTCAGTTTCTTTTTTCTTTTGATTATTTTGAGGTTTTTAAATGCAAAGTTTAGTTTCATCTTAAGTATTGAGCGTATTTTATTGTGTTCATTTTAGTACAATGTGCTCTATAGCAGTCATTGTCATTGTTAGGAATTATACTTCTCACCTCCATGCTTCACAATTGCAAATTGCTTTTTGTGATAATTATACTGTAGTCCTAATCTGATTTGGATGCCTATGCAGGATGACATATTGTCTAGAACATCCTTCAAAAAAGTTGCTTCTAATGCCTGTGGAACCCTATGAACCTAACAAGTCTTGCTATGTTTGTTCAGAGGTATACCTAAAGTGCACATCTGAATGGAATTTCTTTTGTAAATGTTTTTAAAGCTTACTTGCTCACGTTTAATATCTTGAAAACAGACACCACTATCGCTTGAGGTTAATATTCATAGCTCTAAGTTGAGGGATTTTGTTGAAAAGATTGTTAAAGCCAAACTTGGCATGAACTTTCCATTAATCATGCAAGGGGCAAGTATTCTTTATGAAGTTGGTGAAGATCTTGAAGAGGATATGGTAGCAATTTATGCTGCAAATCTTGAGAAAGTAAAATTCTTCTCCCCTTGCTTTTAAAATAAAATCCTTTAATATGAATTTGTTGGCTTTTGTGTTCAGATCTTGAAATCACAGTTGTTGTTCTATACACTTTGGCACAAAAGATAGTTTGATAATGGTGATTTATTTCTCTTCACAGGCCTTATCTGAGCTGCCTTCTCCAGTTACTAGTGGGACTGTGCTTACTGTAGAGGATCTTCAACAGGAGTTCTCATGTAGTATCAATATCAAGCATAGGTTTGTCTTTACCTTGATAACCGTAATATAAAAATTTAAAAATTCTTTTCTATTGTCTCCCTAGAAAGCTCTTTAAAATTATGTGATAAATGTTAGACTAGCTTCATCACATTAATTTAGCTTTTTTGCCTGTCTTCTTCTTGGGTTTACTTTTGTGCTTACTTGTTACATCTTTTGCTCCAGGCATTTGTATTGCACTTGTGGTTAAAAACATGAAAAATTCTGGCGAACTTATTTAGCTAAAATAAAATCTGTTTAAGTGATTACATGACAATGAATAAGGTTTTGTTACTTTGTATTTTCATCTCAACTGATTCTTGACATTAATTATATGATTAGACTAGACATCTTCTCGTTATTAAATCATGATGAGTAAGGGCTGATCTCAAAGTTGTGGCTTGATATGGACTTCCTTTATTTCTGAATGCCTCCTCTAATTTACTGTTCTGTGATTATAATATGCCTCCTCTAATTTCCTTTATTAAATCATGCTTGTGTTGTCAGTAGAACTTGCATCAATTGTTATCCTGCATTGGGGACATTTGTTCTCAAATATGGAAAGAAATTTTAAAAATTTACTCTTTATGGTCACAGGGAAGAATTTGATGAGGAGAAGGAACCTGATGGAATGCTTCTCTCTGGATGGGTTGAAGCTCCTGTCGATAAGGACAATAATAAGCCTATTAGAAATAGTGAAAGTACATCCAATGCTTTGCCAGCAGAGGAGATTCTAGACGGTGAGAAGGATGTTGAAATTCAGGAAATTCCAGAGGGGACTGAAACAGTTACTGGGAAGAAAAGAAAATTGTCTGAGGTATCCGAAGGCACGAGTACAAATCACTCAGGCCTTTCCGATGAAAATAGAAGTCACAATCAACTTGAAAAGCTTGATGTTGATGATGAGGATGATGAGCTCATTATATCTGATGATTGGGAATCACTCACCAAGAAGAAAAGGTTGTAATAAGGTAGTACTTCATCTTGATTGTGGACAGCATCTTACCTCTGATTTTGTATCGTTAGGATAAATGGTGATTCTTTTGGAGGCCATAATTGTTATTTTAGGATAGAGTCTATAGTATTTTGCTTTGATTAGATGTTACTAACTGTTATGTCCATTCCCTTTTACAAACAAGCGTAGCAACAATGTGTATTCCTCCGACTTTTAGATTAACCGAGGGTGGTTTGTAAACTTGCAAGCATCAGGATTTCTTTGAACATCAATGTGAAATGAAATTAGTAATGGAATTATTAGAAAATAGAAACGGTGCTCTCAGATGGACTCTTCTTTGATAAACAGCATGAAACAACACATATATCATGGTCCTGTCGTGCTTCGGGGTTGAGATCATTTCACTTCTAGCCTGAAGCAAAGGATGTAACGTATTTGCCTAATTTAGCGGGCAAGAAAGCATGTTGATTATGTCAAGAAGAAAGGCAAATCATAATCATTACCATCAAAGTTTTTGTTATGAAATCTGCAATTCTTGCATTCTGCATATATAATGAAAATCTAAACACTCTCTTAATTGGTTAAAAGCCCTCATTTCATTTTGATTCTCCATTACCGAATGTGAAAAAGAAAAAGGGAGAGTAGTTGTTGAGACAGAAAAAGAATGTTAACTGTTGTGGATTTCTATGAAAGTTTCTGTATTCGAAAATATAAGAGGTCACACGTCATGGGTAGAAATTCAGGTTCTGCAAATTATGGATTGCTTTGCATTTTCCTTTTGGTTGTTCATTCAAAAGGTCAAAAGGATCTCTCACCTTTCATTCTTCTACTTTGTAACACCCTTCCATCCTTTTATACTGCCTGTATATTACCTATGATTATGCCATTAATGGTGGTGATGGTGGAGAATGAATATTAGTACAATTTGTTTGTCTCAAATGCCTAGTGTTGGACCTGTTTGTGGCTGACAGTTGATTTTTTAATTAAGGACCTAATTTTATTCATAAAGTATAAAAGTTAAAGGTAAGAGCTGAAATTCATTTTGGATCCTTAATATATTTAGATTCCTATTTCCTCACTTGGGGATTTTGATCAGGAATTTTAGCAGGTATGGTGAAAAAGAAACATGCCCATTACCAAAAAATAGAATCCATCACCATTCTGGCCTAAGTTTTTCTTTTTCTTGTCTCACCCTTCCATCATATGTTAATCACAAAACAAGGAATAGGAGGTTTCTGCATTATTATTTTTTGGCCATTTGTACAGTTGATTAATATGCTCAGGTGTCATGAGCCACAATCATCTCAATCATTCATTTTAAAATGCAGGAAACGATCTCTATGTGTTCTGTTATGTTGATAGTAATATTGAAATGAAACATGGTATACTTGATTTTGATTCATGACAACAACCGTAAACATGTGTGAAGTTCACAGTATTAACAATGATGATTCAAGTGCTACAAAAGCAGCAAAAGTCAGGCCAACCGCATAATGCTAACTGCCCTTTTATGTTACCTCATGAAGCTAGATGTCAAGTGGTTAAATGTGATTGCAGAAGTGAAGATCTCTCCACATATATACCGAAAGCAAATGAATTTTGGTATTATTTTCATACAATTATATACCACTTATTAGCTTTAGCAGGATGCTTCATATGAATATGATCTCCAATCCTCTTAGTCTCAAATCTATGATGTCTGGTTCAACCACAGTTTAAGTTTCGGTGTCAACTTCTTATTGATCTGAACAAACTTGATGCTCAGATAACACACCCACCAAGAAGTAAAAAAAAGGTGCTCTTTTGGAGGTTAGAAAATAGATTTGTTGGCCTAAACTAAAGCGGTACAAATTGAAATGTTAAAGATGCTACTTGCAATTGGCATATCTGTCTGGTCTCATGCAACTAAATATTGATACAATTGCAGCTGGAACCATTTCTTATTGAAATTGTTGGTAAATTGAATTCAGAAACTTGCTATAACAAGATACAAAATTGCTAGCTGCTATTCTTTCATATGGTAGTAACTGAGACATAAGATTAATGGTACTGTATGCATATATCAATCGACATCAGTACATTAATCATACTGTATGTTTTGGTATACGTCCACACAAGAAGAAGGGAAGAAAGGTGAGTGAGTGAGAGTTCTGATAAAATAGTTGTTACATAGAAAAGTGCACCATTTTATGGTAGAAGGAATGCCTGCCCAAGGCCTCTGAAATTGTAGAATTATATCCCACTTATCAAGCAACGATATTTACCTACCATTCAGCCCTTGAAATTGTGCAAACATTGCAGTTCCCGAGTGTTCACCAATGATTTGAACTTCAGCTGGACCCTTGTTGTCTTCAGGATGAGAAACTGGATGGTTGTTATCAGATGGAGGACTGCTGGACGGAACCACAATAGAAGGGGATACAGCGGCAGTGCTAGATGACTGGGTCTCATCCTCTGATTTTCCTACTGAAAATGATTCTTGCAGCTGCAAGGCATACTCCAAGTTCCACAAAACATCTCCCATTGAAGGTCTGTCAACACCATATTCTGCCAAGCACTTCTCTGCAGCCTCAGCAAACTTCTTCATTGATTCAGGATTGATGCTACCCACAAGCTGAGGATCAATAATCTTTTCAAGCAAGCCCTTCCTCTTCCATTGCATTGCCCATTCAGCCAAGTTAACCTGCTCTCTTGGCAATTGTGGGTTAATAGCAGGCCTTGCACATAAGGTTTCAAGCAGAACCACCCCAAAAGAGTAAACGTCTGATTTTTCTGTTAATTGCTGCCTCCTAAAGTACTCAGGGTCCAGGTACCCAAAGCTGCCTTTCACTGCTGTGCTAACATGATTCTGTCCCATAGGTGTGTCTTTTGACAGCCCAAAATCAGCAACTTTGGCAACAAAGGCATCATCGAGCAAAATATTGGTGGTCTTAACATCACGGTGGATAATCCCTTGAGCAGTACCAGTATGAAGGTAGTGAAGTCCACGAGCAGCTCCAATACAGATCTCGAGCCTCTGCTTCCATGATATTGGTGGCAAGTCTTTTCCATACAAATGATCCCTGAAAGGCCCATTCGACATGTACTCATAAACCAGGATCATTTCATTGTTCTCATCACAGTAACCAATCAGTGACACCAAGTGTCTATGCCTTAGCTTTGACAACATCTGGATTTCTGTCTGGAACTCTGTGATGCCTTGTTCAGATTGTGGGTTCCCTCTCTTGACAGCAACTTTGGTCCCATTATCGATTGTGCCTATATAGACATTGCCAAATCCACCAACACCAATTATTGCACTTGCATCAAAGTTCTTGGTTGCTTCTTGCAACTCCACCAGAGAGAAATAACGGCCCAAGCCTAGGGTTGATGAGTAAAAGTTGCTCTTGTGAGAACCGACAGAGGTCTTGCTCAAGAAGCTAGTGTCTCCAGCATGGAGTGGGAGCAGCCAAGAAGAAAAACTATTCCTCTTTTGCCAATCTTGGGGTCTCCTCTTCCATCTAATAACCATCGCACCAAGACCCACAAACGCACCAAACATCATGGCAAAACCGACTGCAGCCACAGCGCCCTTGTTGGCTATGCCCACCCTTCCATCAACACCAAATTCCCCATCCAAACTATCAACCGAGTTGCTCATTTTCAAGACCTCCAAGCCATTAAGAATTGCATTAGTCACTCCTGTATCCTGATTCAATGGACCAATCTGAACAGTTAGTCCATTGCTGAAGAGGGAAGCATTCACCACAATATCCTTGTAATATGGAACAGCCAACCCACCAGTTAGGCTCGACAAGTCCAATCCAGAAATGGCCATTTTACCATTAATGTATATATTGAAATAGAGGTCATTGAGTGCCTTGCTAACAATGTCACAAAAATGCATCCGAAGCATGTAATCAAATGCTGTATCAACTTCTAACTGCCATGTGACATTGAAGTTTGGTTTCACTGTTTTTGCATCAGCCATTTGAATAAGAGATGAATAGACTGTTGCTGGTGCAATCAGTGGTGTTAAAGTCTCAGGGTATTTGATAGAAGTTGTGGCAGCAAAGGCATCCTTAGCTAATTTTTTTTCTTGAAGATAATCAGAGTCAGGTATCCAAGTCCTGCCCAGTGTGTCATTCTGTGAGGTGATCAGAGGTCCCCCCATGTTAAGCCTGTACACGACATGGTAACCGTACTTAGACAAACCAGCAAAGTTGTTAACAGGGAAAAGGGAAGTGCCTTCATCGGAAATCAAGCTATCCGGTGCTGAAACCACCTCAATGGCATTTATAAAAGCAGCTGAATTCTTCATAGGAGTAAACTTGAGGGTAAATGTAGGATCAGTCATGTTAAGAAGGTACTCCTTCAGGATAGGTATGGAGTTATTGTTAGCCTTGAGGTTGTGAAGAAGAACATACTGATTCGCAGAGACAGAGAATGTAGATTGTTGAAGATCAAACTGGTTAACTTTTATTGGAAAGAAATAGAGACGCACCCAGTGAAAACCAGGTCGTTTTAACTGGAATGTATAGATGGCTTCTTGGGCAAAAACCCTTGCAGTTAGATATAAAGGTGAAGGAACATCAGCAGAGGCGACAGATACTTGAACATCTTCCTCGGTGTTCAAGAACTCAGAGGCTTGTTGGTCACTTTTGAAGACTCTTCCGTCAGGGAGCGTGGGTGGAGAGTTGGCACCACAATCAATGAGGATGTTATCTTGGGGAGTGAAGGTACCGCTGCTGGACAAGGCAAAAATGGTGGGGCAAGAGATGAAGTTGTAGACGAGCACCAGGAGGATAGCCATCGATGAAGATGATGACAATGACGACGACGATGACAGAAAGGAAGATAGAAAAAGGTTGGTTTGATATGTTTTTGGTTTCTTTTCTATCTCCATCCCTCCTGGATGAGAGGGATGTTCAGAAATGAACCAACAAAAGATCTTTGGAAAAAGAGGTTAATGGTGTTATACCTGAATCAGTGGAGGAAAGCAATTGACAGCAGAATTGGACTTCGCATTCCCAATTATGAGGCAATGTTTGTGGAGAAAGATATTTTTAGTTGTTGAGGGTATGTTCATCCTCTCTCCATTTTTAGCAATTGCGAACAAAACAAAGGTTTACAAGCTTCGGACATGGTCAACGGTCAACCACAATTCCTCTCTTTCTCTCCCCTTTTTCCCTTGAAGGCTTGAGGCAGAGAAATCTTTTCAAGTATGCTAATATTCTAGAGCTTAGAAGGCAAGCTGTGATGAACTCCGGCTTTTACAAACCAATTAAGAACATTGATTTCAAGAATGGGCACAAAGAATTCTAATAAATTAAAGAAACAAGCTACATATCGCATATTGGAAATTCTCAATGTTTCAATAGTGATTATTTCTTCTTTTCATGGATAAATAAATATGAAAATTAGAAGAAAACGTGATTTAGACAATGCATTATAACATTTCTTTTTTATAGCCCAATCAGGAAAAAGAAACAAAAGAAAGATAGTACGCATACATTCACAAGAACACATAATTCGGGTGACATTTATTACAAAACTACATAGGTACAATATCTCATCCACACAGCTTTTTCAATGGCTATGATGACCAGGTAATTTTTTCTTCATCTTCTCCGTACCCTTCTTCTCGTGCTGATCATCAAGGTGGTGCCTGCCCAGGCGTTGCGGTCTAGCTGGTTTTGATGTTTGTTTTGGCAGCGTAAGTTTTGGTCAGTGATTGCTCCTTCTCCTTGGGCTTCCAACCTGTTAGTTTCTCCTTTATTTTCTGCTTCAGCCCTTTCTTCTTCCTTCAACCACCCATCCCATCATCCTCGGACTAAACCAAGAAACAATTCACAGCCAAGGAAAAATTAACGCAGTTTAAGTATATATAAAAACAAATTACAGAACAAAACCTACTCTGCCATCATATCCATATGAGGAGGTTTTCATTACCGAGCTAGAGCTGGAGCTGGAGCTGTTGGATCGCTGAGTCTCTTCCCTACTGGAAACGCCGTAATGCAGCCGCTCTGGATGCTGCTGTTGTTGATGATGTTGTTGCTGCTGCTGCTGCTGTTACTGCAAATACTCAGCAGCAGAACCAGTCTCGTATCCCATCTGACCACCATGCATAGCTGGATGTCTGGCGGCTACACCAGTGACATGCACGGGATTACCGTATTCGTCAGTCAACACAACTGAGTTGCCATGCTCATGCATAGGGTTGCCATGCTGATCTCTTAAATCAGCCATTTCGTAATTAGTGACGCAAAAACAGGGAGATATGTTTTATTGTGTCGAGGCTAATCTTGGGACCTACATAAAGGAAAATCCAAAGATGGTGGAGAAGAGTACGTTTTTGCATGTACAGGTGGCGAGAAGCTTGCAAATGATACATTCAGGATGTTGCCACGCTAGAGAAGTGAGGAGCGCACTGTAGCTCAAGGGAGCAAATATTTTCATCACCTATTTGTTCAGCAAAACAAATCTACACATCTTTGCCTTCGAGCACGTTCAATGAAATGGATACATATGTAAATGGCAATTAGAAAACGTGGAAAGCTACAAACTCAAAGACCTAAACAGAAATAATTGCTTTCTGGGAAGATCCAGAATCCATTAGTCATACAGAATTTCATATGAATCAATTTGTGTTTGAATCCAAACAAGAAATAGATCAATCTGTACAAAATAAGAATAAGATCATTAATGTTATACTATTTTTTTCCATTGTTTAAACTTTTCTTCATGTTGAGCTATTCGTTCACCTATAATTTCCATTTTCTTCTTTACAGAGTGATTCCCACGAGAGAATCGTGTTGAAACTTCAGAATGATGTCAAGAATTCTTCAAGAATGACATCCTGCATGCTATGTGCAATCGCTAAATCCAGTGGGACTGCGGAGGAGAACAAAACCAGAATCTGTATGGCAGAAAAATAACAAATCAGACTGAGTCCCAGGAAACCACAGATTTGTACATTTTGATAAATAGTTTTTGGTATTTTTGAGGTATCAAAATCGAGTTACTTCCATTCCTGGCAAAGGTAAGGAGCAAAGACAGATTGTGTTCATCAGAACTATGGCATTAAGCTAAGAAAGACAGTTTTATTCAGAAGAAAGGAAAACTGACGCTTTAGGCATGTGGTAAAAATGAATTACATCAGTCAAAAAGATACTAACCTCCTAACGGCAGACACGAAGTTTACAACTTGCTAGATTTGGCCCAGAAAAAACCCTTTTTCCTGGTAGAGTGATTCTCTGGAGGGGACCTACTTCCCTTTGATCCAAAAGAAAAGTGCTTCCGCAGGAAAGGCATGCCCAAGGAGCTTTTCATGCTTGAACTGGAGGCCTTACCTTCATGTCCACTACTTTTCAGACGATTAAATACGACAGGATCACCATCCATATCACCATTGACAACCCGGCTCCTAGATCTTTTGTTGATTTTAGCCTTAAAATCCATTTCTGCTTTAAATGCTTTCTCAGATAATTTATGTGTCTTCTTCTCCCCCAAAGTACAAACCGGGCAAGCAGGGTCATACTTGTCAATTTCAGGGGTCATATTTTCCAAACATTCAGCATGGTAAACATGCCCACAAGTTAGAACAGCAACAACAGAAAGCTCATTGCTAATAATAATCTTCTGGCTGCTCCACAAAGATTTTTCCAATAATAGCTTTGAGCAAACACCACATGTTTGCAGATCAACAGAGGGGGATGCTGAGATTTGGCCACTGGATTTGCTTATCTTATCATGATGAAAACCCCATGTGTCGTTATCAACAGACCACCTTTCCTTACAGGATGTAGCCATGAGTTCAGAAAAGGCATGCATAAACCAACCATCAGAAGAACCATCCCGAGAGCCCCCAGTTGATTCATTGCTCCAAGAAGGCATCACTAGCCTTTCCTCACAAACCGAGTATCTATTAGCTGACTTCAATCCCAGAATTCGATTATCAGATACTTGACGCAATAGACGATGTCCAGGAGATCTGAGAGGGAACTTTGTTGCTGAACTAGGAGGATTCACGTGACTCTGAGATGACAAAGGGGATGTTGCTAAGGAGGAAGCTAACGGCAAAGAAAATGATGACTTAGAGGGAGATGGATATGAGGCTGCAGGGGATTCTGTGGACTCCTTCACCTGAAACGCAGTCCAGATTTCTCAAAAGGATGTCATATTAAGGGGAAGTTATCACAGAGGTGGAAGGAGTCATGAAACTGCCTCCTACCATAAAAAGCTTTACCTGCTCTAAGTTCACATCAATTGAGATATTTCTTGAAATAGATTGATCTGCATAATACATGTAAAAGAACGTTAGATAGAACAACTGCAAAAGGACCTTTCTGACATCCTTTTATTTTTTATTAAGAGGATTTTCTCACAAATCTAAACGTTGGAAAACCAACAAAATGATAGAATGACATGGCCAACATTTAACAAATTACCAGTTTCATTTTACCACGAGATTAACACAAACAAAGAGACAATTTAAGCAAATCTCAGGCCTAGCCAGTGCCCTCCCCTACTCCGAAAAAGGAAACCCTTTAGACCCCATACATATCCTGTTCATAGAATTGTTGGAAAAATCACATTGCATTCTTTATAAAATGTGGTATGACAAGAATAAACTAAATTAAGATAAAGCATTCACACATTCCTCTCACTTTTTATGTAACATAAGCAAGGTAGAGTGGGACCATCCAAGATGAAAAAGATTGCTTGAAGGAGAGTGAAAAAGGACCAGAAAAAATGGCCTTACAGAGTTGATTGAACTATGGTTTCCAACCAAATGGCCAAGGGTAATCCTGTTATGCATGCAACTCCTTTAACTGAACAAGATTTTCAGGAGATTACCAAATGATGTAACCAAAGAAAATTACAAGAAATAAGGGTCTGCATCTTGAGAAGAGAAACTCAGAAAATTTTCACTTTTTAACTGAATTTATACATTATTGCCCCCTTCCGCTACATTTAAGGACCCGTCAATGTTCTAATTTCTGGTCAGAAGCACCTTCCTATGTCTACATTCTTTGTACTTTTTCATTCACTGCAAGTTATTATTTATCTAATTAGTTAGGCTCCCATGTGCTGAAGTAATAACAGGTAAATTAGTTTAAACTAACTTCAACATTTCCGAATGTGGTATGATTCACACTTAGACCAGCATCCTAGCAGTTTACCTGAAGCAGGAGTTCTAACTTGTAAAGCAGTTCTTTCTGAAGTTGGGGACTTCTGCCATACACGAGACTGGAAACTCTCAGACAGACTTCCATCCTCCGATGCACATGCAGATTCATATTTGATCTCTGATCCGTCATTCCGACTAATTGCATCAGAAAACCAACTCATAGAAGTGTCTTCACCCGCTACACGCCCTCGGTTATCCCAATGAAAACTCCACATCGGAGAATATGTTATATTCCTATGAAAAACTTCACTACCCGATCCATTTACTATAGTTTTATCTCTAGCAGCAACACAACAAGCAGCCCCCATGATCCACCACACTAACAAACTAATCCTCCAACAAGTTTCAAACAATCATCATTCAAATTATCTGGAAAATGAATTCAACCAATATCACAATCAGCATTACTCTAGCAGGAAAACCGCATTAACTTCCTTTGCTTACCAACGTATAAAAAAACAAAGCATCAATAAGCTTATTGATAAACTAGACGATAGAAAATAAAATACTCGTAAAATTCATGGTACTTATTTAAAAACCTAACTCCTCACTGTAATAAATTTAAATTAGATGTCAAAACAACAGAAATTGAAAACAGAAATCGAAATTAACCAAAACACCTACAATAAACTCTAAAAAAAAGAAAGAAAAAAGAAATTGCCATTATTGGTTAAAATGAGCTTTAATCAGTTAAAAACCAAGTTGAGAGACAAAGTGAGCGAGTTTGAAGGCTCACAAGAACACTCTCAGTATCGCCGCTCAAAACTCAAGAGAAAGCAAAAATAACGTAATATATATAAAAAAAAAAAAGTGAGAAAAAGACCAAGCAACGATCAATTTGCTAGTCTTTAGGGACCGAATAAGAGTGAGTCCAAATACAAAAAAATAATAATAATAATAATTAATTGGAAAATTTTCAAAAACCCTAGATAGAGTAAAACAAACAAAATCGAAATCACTATAGAGGTCAAAAAGAGATCCGAAATAAATGCCTAAAAAACAGCAACTCACGGTCAAAATAACCACAGCAAAAAAAAAAAAAAATCAAGTCAAAATTAAATCTAAAACATATATATTCCAGGATAAAAAGATACGATGAAAATTAAAATTTCGATAAATTAGTAATAACAATGCTTGATTTTAGGGTTCTTTACATATCATATCGGAACAAGTAAAACCAGAACCTGACATAATCGAACCGTACGGGTTGGAGCCCCGAAAAACGACGTATTATTGAAGATAGAAACCCCAAGTGTTTTCAGAGTATGAGGAAAAAAAAAAAGGGATGGGAGAGGAGACTAAGAGGCTGCTTGTTCTTTTTTTTTTTTTTTGCTTCCTTTTATCTTCGTTTCTGGGGAGAGAGTGGGAAGGAGTGAGGTCGTTTTAGACGGACTTATTAACGTCGTTAGAATCTGTTTAGTTGAACGCCTTAAATCATATTAACCGGCCGTTAATTGTCTTGACGGAGTTTGTGCTGAACCGAGAAAAGAAAAAAGATTTTATTTGTGTGGTTAATTGATAAATTATTTTTTGAAAATTTGTTTGTTTGGAAAAGAGAGCTAACAAAGGGAAACGGGTGGTTTCTTTTGAGGTACGCGGAGTTCGTAGTACGCATACTCGTGCTTTTTCACCTCACAGGAAAGTATCCTTATGGAAACTTTTTATTCAAGTTTTTTTCTTTTTTTTTTCAACTAAAGAGATTCTTTAAAAAGACATTGTTCTTATTCTCAGTCATAATTTCCTGATTCTTTCCCTCTCACTTGCGTTACATTATTTTAGAAATTACAACATCTTTATCTTTTTCTTTTTTGGATTTAAATTTTAACCTTGAATATTTCAAATATTAAAGATAAAGTTGGTAACGGATAGGTTTGTGATGATTTTTTACTCGTTTCAAATTCAATTTGATTTTATTTTTATAAAATTTGAATTCAATCTTATCCAAAAAATTTTTTATTTTTTTATACATGAATCTAACTTAATTTGATATTGTATAAATCGTATCAAATTTGATCTAAAATTAATAAAATATTATTTTTAAAATATAAATATATATATATAATTAAAAAATTTTAAAAATAAATTTTATATAATATCTAGTCGGATCGGATTTATCTAAAACCTGAATCCGATCTGATCTCGATTTTTTTTTAACATTATCCAATTTGACCTAACTCAAAATTTGATTTAAAAAAAAAAAATCTACCTTATGAGATCAGATCGGATTAAAATCCATCGAGGACGGATTGAACTGTCAATCTTAACTAAGGGGATAAAAATAGTTTTGCCATTTTACAATAATTGATGATTAAATATTGAGTTATAATTAAAATTTATTTTAAAATCATTAAACATCTAATTTTAAATTAATTAATCATATAATATTATAAAAAATTAAATATGAAAAAATATCATTTTAATAGATTTTCATCACATGTAAATTAAAATAAAAGAAATTTACTATTATATAAAATTAGGTATTTAGTAGATGTAAAATAACATCAATTTAACAAAAATTAAAAATTTTGAAATTGAATTTTAATAATAATTTAAAATAAAAAATGATATTGAATTTAAACATAAATAAATATAAAAAATAAAATAAAGGATCTGCAGTGCTTAATTGAATGTGGCTGATGCTGTGGTTCAACTTATCGCATTTGTATGGACTCAAACGAAGTTGATACCAAACGTATTTATGACAAAATTTTCCATTTTGATACTAAACGTATCCTCACGGTTGTCCAAACAATGACGTTTAACTTGAGGACAAAAATGACATTTTATAATAAAATAAGGTGTAAGAAAAAATAGGGCTGTTGTGTTTTGACTGGATTGAGATATGCTTAATGATCATTTTTTATATATATATAAACAACGGTTAAAACATCAAAATCAAATGAGATTAGGTAAAGTCAAATCCCTATCCTCTCAAAGAAGAAGGGGGAAGAAGTTGATAAACTAAACATACATAACTCATTTTAATGGGTTTTTGTTGGGATCTTCATTTAATTAATTTCTATGACAAAATCAACCATGGGGAGTCCAATGGCCACAAATAATTGTTCAAATAAGGAAAAATTGGAAAAAAAAAAAAAGATAATGTAATGTAGACTTGGTCATTTTTGTTTTCATGTCATGTTTTATATCGTATTTGATATGTATAATGACATAAATTATTAAAATATAAATACGATATAAATTATAAAACGTGATTAAATTTTAAATATTAATATGACACATTTAATATATAGTTACATAAGACATAATATAATTAATACATATACAATTAATTCGTTTAAATATGACACAAATAAATATTAATAATATGTATGTACACGAATAAACATGACTAATACGTATATAAACAAATAGACAAGATTAACACAAATATATATAAAAAAACATAACTAAAATAATAAATAACTATAAACTATTTATCATTTACAACTTAATAAATTTGACATATTAATAATAAAAAAAACTTACATATTAAAAAAATAAAAAAAAATTAATGCCCATTTAAGGATTAAAAAATAAAATAATAATATATAGGACTAATACTAATATTTATATTGCATTTATATTATTAATATAAAAAAAACTCTATAATAATTATTAAATGAGTATCATAATTAAATATTTAAAATAATTTTTATATAAAATTAAATAGCTAATTAATTGTTATGATTAAAAAATTAAAAATTAAAATAATATTTATATGTTTATATTAAATTAAAATAAATAAAAAATGTGTTAAACGTGTTAAATATATTAAACGTATACTCATATGATAATATTAAATTAAATGTATTATTCATGTTGTGTCACGTGTTTAAATGAGTCAATACATATACAATACAAATTGTATCGTGTCAAAATTCGTGTTGACATAAATAAACATGAAACACATTTTTTAAAAATATATATAAGATATTTTTTATATCATTTTCGTATCGTATTATTATATCGTGTTTAAAATTATTAAGTTTAATGTAATGTATCTTAATGTGTTTGTGTGTTTTTTTTTTACATATATATTTTCAAAAAAATAAGATGAATTCTTTAAAATTTTTCACTGTGAGATTGTATTTGAAATTATTAAAAATTAATTTTTGATTATTAAAATTAAAATTTTAATTCTCTCTCAACAGATCATATAATTATAGATAAATTTTAACAATAACTTCATTACATATTTTAAGTACTTTTTTACTTTGCAAAATGTAAGATTTTGGGCAAATATCTTGCTCATAACCTTTGAATAAAAAAAAATATAACTTATCACATAACTGGTCTTGTATTTTAAAATTATTGTCAACAAGTATCAAAATTAAAAAAAAAAAAAAAAACAAAGAATTTAACAATTAAGTTAACCTCTCATTGATAACTTGGAATATAAAAATAAATATTAGTAATTCTTTTTCATTTATTTAATTATTAAACACGAGACTCTTGGATTAACTTGGGTAATGAATAACCTTAATGCTTCAGCCCAGTTCACTCTTGTCAGTCGAAGCCCAAATTTTAAGCCCGTATAGACACAACTTCGCCCAATCTGGAGAGTTAGGCCTTCGGTTTAACTTTTACCGGCTAGTTTTCTCCTAAAGCGAACAGAGGAAAACGGAAGCAAATTTTGCTTCTCGAGCTGCACCTGAATGTCGATTTCACATTGTTCAAGCTCACTTGTTAATTAATTTTTTATTTTTTTTTTCAATAAAGATTCTTGGGTGAACGGAAGGTTAATAATCATGCAAAGGAAAATGAGCCTATTTTAATTAATTTTAGTAAAAAAGTTCAACACTCACATTCCACGAATATAATAAAATGATATCAGTTTGGATTAAATCAGATTAGGCTTAATTTTATTTTTTAAAATATTATATAATATTATAAATTTTTAAAATTCAATCCGAATTCGAATTAAATTTTCATACAATTCAAATTGAACTAAATTAAATTTTATCAGTTCGATTCGATTTGATTTACTAGTTTTTAAATTTTAATTTTTTTATATATTATTTTAATATATTTATATAGATTTTGGTATAAAATTATTTTTTTTATTTTATAAAAATTTAATAAATATATAAAAACTAAGAAAAATATATAATTTAGTTTAGTTCAATTTTTTTTTCAAGTTTATACCTCCCGATCCGAACTTAATATATATATTTAATATTCAAATTTAGACCAAAACAAATAAGAAAAAAAATTGATCCGAATTGAATCGAATACTATAATTTCAAATCAGTTTTCGATTTTCAATTTTCTCAAAATTTTTTCTCACCCCTAATATATAATACTACTTCAAAATTAAAATGGTTTCATGCAATACATTATAAACATGAGATGACTATGATGGACTCATATTTTGAGAAGACTTCAGTTTGAGAATAGAAGAAAAGATAATAAATGCTGTAATTTGAATTCTAAATTTATTGAACGACATTTTATGAGGATAACTATATGAACAATTTGAACTAATAGAATATTTACAACACATTATTATTTAGGCTTCAAAACTTAGTACTATAATATATGACATATAATATGTAATAGGTGATATTAACAATTATACATATATATATGTAGAGTAATCATAATTACATTGCTTCATTAATTTATTTAAGTACTGCGATCAAGCAGCCAAGTTCTTTTATCCATTGCTACACCACCTTCATCAATTAGGTATGAGCTTGAAGCGAGGCTTGACAAGAGCTGGTGATGGGTCATATCTTCCATAGTCTTTGGTGTTTACTACAAGCAACCTTTCATGGACAGCAGCACTTGCTTCGCCGCCTTCCTGTTGGATCTTGTATGTAAGAATCGTAATATTAACATTTGGGAAAAATAGAAAACCCTTGGAGGTAAGATAGAAGAAGGGGTTGGTTAACTTCGGGTTTATTTCTTGTCAAAAAAGAAAACATTAATTTGATTTTTATTTGCCGCAGATATGTGAACTTTTTTTAGTTTTCGATATTGTCAGGAATTGAATCTTAATTACTAAAATTAAGAATCCAATACTCCATCGAGATATTGACGTGCAAATAACTTTGATTAAGTTGATGTTGTGGTATTTTTCCTTGAAAGCCAGATCCTATAGCTAGCTACGCGGCCAGAAAGCTGGTTAACTAATTAAGCTTTCAAATCAAAGACAAAAGAGAAAACAATGATAACTATAGACCACGTTTGTCAACCATAATCAACTTGTACAAACTATAATTGGCACACCTAATGATTTTTGGTATGCAATTTTTCAAGCGGAAGCAAGATTTTCAAGAGTACTCCAATATATGTCTTTTCACTGTCAAGTGAAAGTGAAACCGCCACAGAATGAAATGAAGAACCCTAAATAAGATGCTACTCTACTAGTAAAATGAGGGTTTCATATATACTAAGTCATTGAGGACAGAATCAAATGCACAAACCTCAAAAGCTGCATCCACTTCCTCAGCCAACATGTTCACCAACCTGGATCGGCGACCTGTAAAAGCCAATTTCAGCATGTTTGAAATCCCTTTCTGATATTGTAAAAAGAAAAGAATCCATTGATCCCAATATGAAACATGTTATTGAACATGCAAAACACTTATTTCCATCACAAACCCTAACAAGACTTGACGCAAAAAGAATATATGAATATATATATATATATATATATAAACTTTTATTCCATGAAAATTGGCAAGCATGTTGTTAATAAAATCGAAGGTTGAACTCGGCTTTTAGTTTGAACAGTTGTTTTAATATATTTTATTGGGTCGTTCTTTTTTACTAAAAGCTTCAACATCTCGTCGACAAAGCATGCATGACTAGCAACAGATTGATTAAAGCTGCAGCAAAAGACATAGAAAAACCCACCTGCCAGAGAAGTTGATAAAAGAAAACCTGAAACCAGGAGGAAAAGCAGAACAATCTTCTTGAGATCCATGTTTAAGCAATTTTTTTTTACTATCTTTAAAGCTGGTTTCTCATTCAAGAGAGAATGAGAGCAAATTAATGAGGGCTATCAAACTTTATTGCAAACAACATTATATTATAATTACTGAGACCGGCCTTAGAGTTGAAGCAACAATTCGATTGTATTTTATTGTGAAGAATTCAATCTTATTGTTGTTTTAAGTTTAAAAATTCAAAAGCAGAAAAAGGTGAAGGAGACCACTTTTCGTTTGTTGGAGCACTTAGTCCAACAAGTTAGTGGATTATATAGTTAATTAATGTAAAAGTACAGTGGAAATCATCGACACATCCCTCACTTTCTTAAATTATACAGTATTATAATTCATTGGTGTATATACTAATTTTTTTATATTTTTATGTGTGTTTTTCGGTTTTTTTTTTTTTTTTTTTTTTTTTACAAAAGAGAGGCAATTTGGATATAAAAAAAAAGGTATGTTACTAGGCAATGGTGGATCCACTTTTAATGCGAGGATGTTCATGAACACTCCCAAAATTGAAAAATAATAAAATTTAAAGGAAAATTTTTTATTGAACACTCCATTTTTTTTTTCGACACCCCCAAAGGTGAGAAAAAAAAATTGAAGGAAAAATTTCTTTGAATACTATAAAATTGATAAATCTATCACTAGTTATATATATATATATATATATATTATAAATAGACATTCTAAAAAAAAAATTCTGAATCTGTTACTCTTGTGTATTGATATTTGAATCATAAATTTAATATTATTTTTTAAATATGATTACATATATCAAATAAATTAAATTTTAGATTAATTTTCAAATTTCACTTCTTTTTCCTCGATAAATCTATTTAGTTAATCAAGCTATCCAATAAATCTAAATTCAAAAATATGAAAACCAAGGTTGAGAAAAACATTATCCAATTTAGAAATCCAAAAGCACTAAAAATATGGATTTAAAAAAAAAAAAAAAGAGCTAGAATTTCACTTTAATAGTGAAACTATCAATAGGAATACAATGAGAAACATGGAAAGATGTCTGGCCATTGGGGGAGTCTTTTCCCGGTCTTTGGCCTTGCCAAAAAAGATTAATTAGGTTGCCATTAACAAAACATTTTGTGGATGACTTAGTGGTTTCAATTATCCTTAATGACAAGGACAACGCACCAAATACAACTGAAACGACAGTGGTGGAGAATAAAGAGAAAGGTGACACTGAGATTTTTAAATTACCCTTTTGTCTTTGTTCTCTCCTTTCTAAGTAAAGTGGGGTTAGGACATATCCTCCCCTGAATTAAGTACATTCCTCCTTCCCTCTTAATAATTGCTCTACTTCGTACTGGAACTAAGCTCAATTTTGTTTATAAAATGAAAGTCATGGATCAAATGCTTGACATGTATTATTAGATACTTGAATTTACATTAGCAAAGGATTAAAAGAGATTGATTTTTTTTTAAGATATAAAAAAATTATAAATATTAATATTTAAACTTCAAATTTACTCTCATATCTTGTCGATAACTATATGAATTAAATTAAAATTTAAATTCGAGGTTCAATGGGTTTATGTATACATTATTTGCATAATTCTTGGCATGCTGCTTTAATGGATTTTGAGTACGATATCATATATATATATATATATATATATATATATATGGTGATGTTATTCATGTGAAGGGAAGCTAAAGCACTTAAGAAAAGGATTTTCGAAAGATTTGTTAGAATCATGATAATTTTGATATCATTTGTTAGATAAAAAAATATTTAATACAATTAAATTAGTGGAAGCAAAACCAAATGATTAATCAATCATATAAGAGACAATAATTTAATATTGTTCGGTCCAACCGACTTACTTTTATGAATAAGAAAAAAGATATACTAGTTGTAAAAAATTATAAATATATATCAAATCAAACATTCATAATTAATACTTATAGGCGCTCTCAATTTTTTCTAATCTTATGGAGTATTATTAATTCAAACAAACACATGCTTATATGCACCAAAGCATCATCAAAGACATACTTATGTACACTCATACCTATATAGATCATCTTGGTCTCCTCTAATCCACTCACAAACATTCAAACATATACTTTCATAAAATGTAAATCTTCAGTAGTGATATAAAGTATCTATTCCATAAAATCTTATAATTATCTTACATAGTTTTTTCGTACCTAATCTTATAAAGACTTTATCTATTTATAAGCATATAAATTTACATATCAAAAATTTTTTTTTTAAATTCTTTTTCTGCAAATTTTTTTATTTATCAAGTAATATCTAATTAATTTCAAATAAATTTGTTATAAAATTTGAATCATTATTCCTAACAAAATCTATATATTCTTTATATTATCTTGGAGAGTATATACGAATATTATGGCATCTACTTTTTTAAGTGGCTTCTAATTTTCTTTTTCTTCTTTTTGGTTTCATCATTAGATTTTTTTCCCTTTTATATTAAGCTTTGGCTATGGTTTGGTCTTTGAATCTTGTCAAAATGTATCAAACTTACTTTATGCCACTTATAATTTCCATGAAAATTAAAAGGAACTGCATCGTTGCAGATGACGATAAATATCTTTTTGCAAAGGAAGGTTGGGTTATCCTTCCATGATAATCATATAAATGTCCAGAGATTTGATGATTATGTCTTATATATTTAACTATTGCATTGCTGAATGATTTGCAAAAGGTTCCCCAAGAACTGGTGCCAATGGTGCCTTTGACACGATCATTCTTCCACCTAGTTGCAGATAAGGTTTGCTATTACCTATGGATATGTGTATATATGCCTTTGTAGGGGACAACTTGTACCTGAGCATCATAGGGAAAGTGCAGAAATATCCTCTAACAACTGGAAACTGATAGAACATCAAGTGTCCTAGTCTGCCGTAGTAATACTGCAGCAATGAATACACAAAGATTCCTACCTTAATTCTTGTCCTTTTAAATTAATACCATTAATAAATGAACATACTTTAAAAAATTACACATATTGGAAAGGAATAAAACACAAATACTTCTAACACACCACATACATCAACAACAAAGTTGGCATCCATGGAGAATCAAGATGACTATGACGAGGAACCGGCCCTTATCGCTTTGTCATTTTCATGGCGCAGGCTGTTTTCTCTACTATAGACAGCTTTTGCTCCCTGAGAAATTGAAAATGGAAGATAAATTCTCTGGTATGGACAAAAACAATAAATGAAGAACCAATATACATATTGCTGGCACCCTTGTCACATGTGCCATTTGAAACAAAACTCAAAATCAAGCTGAATTATATGACTCTTTGGAATGACTGTTGTGGAAGGAAAGCCATACTTACTTGAAAAATTGTTCCAAGTTTTTTCAATCCTTTTGCCCGTAAAACTAGAACATCCTTCGATACGCTAGGGTCTTTAAGTACCTTGAGAACAAACAGATTTAAATAATTTCATCAAAATGCAACTTTTTTTTGGGCAAAACAACTTGGTTCAACAGATCTAATACCTACCCATAAGTAATATGAGCAAAAAATTATAGAAGTGGGTTGGACCATTTTAGGTGCAGTGTGGAAGAAAGAAGTCAAAAACTTCATTGAGGCCATATTTCATGGCCACATATTTTTCTAGCTAAGCAATGAGAAATGTTTCTCCTCTTACATGAATCCAATCATCATAGAATAGAAGAGAAAGAGGAAAAAAATTGTGTCCTTATTATTAATGAATGTTATGAAAAGTCATTTAAAGATGCATAAACAAAATAAATTCAGTTACCAACTCCTTCCCTGTCTTTTAATCTCAGCATGTCAAAGTATACAGTTAGTGAAGTCTGCTTGCAGTCATCTTCATGCAAATAAGATCTTCAAGATGAAACTATTATCAAAGCCCTGTATGTGCAATTGGGGAACCCATAAAATTCATTCTGACAACTATCTTTCCTGACCTACGTGGTTACCCACCACACCACAAACACACATACACACCACAAGGCCAGGCATTGGTTTTGAAATGAATCACACCGATCAAGTTAAGGAAGGAAATGTGTTAACTCACTGCTAAGCAGACATGAGATAAAGTTGACTCAATATCAACCACATTGATCTGCCAAAGGGACTGAAGCATGGCATCCTTCTTATCTTCAAGGGTTTTCAGTATGTTCTCTTCTTTGTTTTCTCCTTGGTTCACTTTCTTCAGCTCATCTTGTATTTGAATTAAACTAACAGCACCTACAAGAAGATGCACATACTTGCTGGGTTCATTCGGCTTTTGAAGTTCAATTAAAATGTAAAGGCCTTGAAGGCCATTAAACAAGATCTAGATCTTTAACCACAGCATGTTATACCTGAAGCTGCCATTACTTGTGATTTTATACGGTGCCCTTTATCTCGCACCCATTCTGCTAAAAACGGTACCTTCATATATCGCCTGTCTTTTCCAAGTTCCCTTGCTGCTTTCCTCGTGTAAATGTATCCAATGGTATGTAGCATAGCCTCACCAAAAGCTGACAGTGGTAGAAAATATAAAGGTCTACTTTAGATTTACCTGCAATTCAACAAGACTAATTTCCAAACAGATTTCGAAAACTGACAGACCTCTTACTGAAAAGTATTTAAGCAATAGCAGCATCATATAAATTCATAATGACTAAAGTAAACGTCTATGATAAATACCTATAAGATATAAAATAACCTTTTTTCCTATTTTTAGTTTAGGAGAACATAAGTAAAAGCTTACCAGCTTTTGAAAGTCGCCGTGCTTCTGAACTTGCCCAGTTAATGAACTCATCAGTTTCACCTTCTACAAATGGTTGAAGGCGATTTTTCAGAATTGTTATGAGCTTTTCTTCCCTTTCTTTCTGAAGTGCCTGCATATTAAAACAGGGAAAAAGGCAAAAACTTAAGTGTAATTGAAAGCAAAACATTTAAGGGGAGGAAATATACCTTCTGAAAAGGGTTTTACCTTCATCTTTTCCTGAATTTTCTGCATACGAGCTTCCTTAACTAGCGAATCATCTTCAATTTCAACAGCTGACAAAGAAGCCAATGCTAGTTGTCCAACATATTCTTCAAAGAATTCACTTCCAAAAAGCATTCCAAACACAGCTGAAGGATCCAACATGGAATTCCTGTCAACAAAAAAAAAAAAAAAACCAGTAATTAACCACTAAGAAGGCAATAAAGCTTGCTTGATAAACCTGATGAGCATAACTTTCTTGCCAGTTTGTGTCTAAGATAATTTTATGGATGAATTACCATGAGCATCTAATAATCTAATAATTTTACGGATTAATACGAAAAGGGAAACATTATATGGGACTATCAGTTTCTGTGAGCACGTCTTTTTGCAAGTTCAAAATATGTAGTAAAGCAATCTAAGCAATATAAAGTAGATGCGAGGTAAATAACTGTCTTTTATAAGAAGAGAACTATTAAAAGTCATACTTATAGCATATAAACTTACGGCTGTACTCCTGCCTTCCCATGCTTGTCATATGCTTCACGCCTTTCAGGATCACTTAGAACCTGATAAGCCTCACCAAGTGCCTTCAGATATATCAAACAGTGAAAATAAATGCCAAATACATTATAAGAAATGAAGATGATGAAATTTGTTTTCATTTCTACGGTTTTCAATTAGAGCAATTAAGATGACTCGATAAACATGAAAGGACAAATTCAATGGAAATACTGCTTTAAAGTAATTAAAAGCCAGTGGTAGAGATAAGGATTCAGTTTCAAAGAATTGATATACTGCTTTAGAACTGTATTTCTAAAGAATTGATAAACTAGCAGCATACTGAAAAGGTGAAAGTTTCAAAAGTGTTAAATCTGATAGTTTACCTGAAAATTTTGAGCAGCTTTTGGATCTCCAGGATTTTTATCAGGATGAACTAGCCTTGCCTGAAGAATACCAGATAAAAGAATCATAATATGAAAATACAAAACATATTTCATGACCCAAATCTCTAATTCCTGTTACAGTTTCAACACACGCCCATTATAAAATTTGTTTAAAGGAAAAAATTTTCATCCAGAAAGAGTCAAACAAATAACTGAATAATGCCGACCATATTAAACATATATGCATTTTTATGACTACAAATCCCAAAAGCAGAATACGGTTCGTTCATACTTCAAGGTATTGCAGACAAGTGTTTATAAAACAAAATCAACAACAATATCAGAGGGATAAAGTCTTTTCCCCTTCAAGCTCATATGTGTTTCTGAACTGATACATATTACAAAAAAAAAAAAAAAAAAAAACCCACAAATCTAAACATAATGGAGATAAAATGAGAAGCTTACTTTGAGGTAATAAGCCTTCTTGATTTCAGCTGCGGATGCATCAACATTGATACCCAATATATCATAATATGCAGTGTCTTTCACCATTGGTCTTCTCTTGGCACTGCTTTTAGCATTAGAATTAGGCACCCGCATACAACTAATCAGCTTCATGATAAAGAAAAAAACAACAACAACAACAAAAACAACAGAAAAGCGTATAGTTATATAAACAGAAAGGTATGAACAAAAATAATTCTAATAAATGAATCTTTAAGCGATAGAAACAAGGAAAGAAGAATATCGTTTTGAAATATTGGATTTTTTTTTTTTTTTATAAAAACTATGACGCTATATGGCATAAGAATCAATTCAGATCTCTGAATTGAAGTAACAACAAATAATGGGAGCTATAGAATAAGTAAACTCCAGGGTCAAAAGCATCATAAATTCATATTTAACAAGAAAAGAGAACAAAAAGAAGAATCTTGAACTGGTTAAGAAATGACTGAAGATTTGAGAAGTGGTAGATCGATACAAAGAAGGAGATCAGTCACCGACCAAAATAAGAAATAAATAACCAAAGGGAGAGCTTGTTCTTGAGAATCTCACTCTTAGAAAACATATGTAAAAAGATGATTACATGGCGGTGGATGGTCTTTGATCATTGCACCTGTACAAATGTGTTAGCCAATAGCCTGTCCCATGTTGTCGAAAAAGACATTGATTCGTGTGGTAAGTAATTGTTATGAACATGTCATGTCTTAATGGACAGAGCAGCAGCCAACAGTGTTGTACTTCGTGTAAGAGAAGCTTGAAAGGAAGCTTCCAACAGAGCCAGCCTATTTGCGCCCTTCCTTCCTAGGCCATGTTGAACTCATTCTCACAGACTGGTAATAAACACGGAAAACTTCCACTTGTTGGGAAAATTTTAATGGACTTTCAATGTGGGCCCAAACGGACTCTCTTCTTGGGTTCAGGTGGTTCTTGTGTTTGGGTTCCAAGGAGCATCAATGGCAGCCTGATTAATGATTTATGGGTGTAACAGTTATAGAGGAAACTACAACAACACGCCAATTACGAGTAACTTTGCTTTTGCAAACTACATTAACACACCAATTACGAGCTCACTTGTATTGGGTCAGCCACGACGGCCCCATATCTAGTTTTTGTCAGACCTTTGATTGGGCTATTCAACCCATGTCTTGTATCTGATTGAATCTTTTTTAATGCAAAGAAAAAGAGAGTCCTCAATTTGCATGTCGTTTTCATCTGTGTATCACATGCCGTTTGTGGGGCCATTCTAGTTAATTTGTTCTTGGCAAAAGCCGAATTGTTTTTTTTTTTTTTTTACATCGTAAGAACAAAGTTTTAGTTAAAAAAAAATTGATTCGAAATTAAATTTTTAATATTCTTTCAAGCACTTTTAATTATTAGATTAAAAGCTTGAACAAAAGTCGAGTTGGTGGATAATTTTGAAGCCGTTTTTGGTAATTTTACACGGCAATTTCAGCAAAATCATTCTCACAAAAAAAAAAAAAAGGTTAATCTGATTATCAACAAAATTCTTTATTTAATGTAAAAAAAAAAGCCACATCCAGAAAATAATAATTCAATGGATAATACGTAGGGAATCTTTGAATGTCGATGATTATCAACATACTTTTTTGTTTTATGTCTACATCAAGACGTATGGCTGCGGAATTTTTGTTTTTATTTTTGGCCAGGTGTGCAATTTTATTAGATGCATGAAAGATAACGAAGAATTGAAGATTGCGAGGGTCCATTTTTTTTTAATTCAAACAGGGGCCTAACTCTTTGAATATTATCAATTTCAAGCAATTCAAATCTTTTTGGATGGTTGATCGAAATTCCATTTTCCACTAAAGCCACAAGGAAGTTGATATTTCCAAAGCTAATTAGGGAATTTGGAAAACTATATCTTAAAGAAAAAGAGAATCCATATTTTTCACTTTTAATTAACCTATTTTTTTAAAAACCAAGATCTTAATTTTGTTTGAAGAGAGCTTTTGCAACATATATAGTTCAAAATCAAGTTCTCTCTTCGACCCTCGACCTCTCTCTCTCTTAATGATATGCTTAATATTTAATTAAATTGACATTAACATTTCACAACCACCGTTCGTATTCAACTAATAAGACATTATTCTCAATTAAGGCCCTCTCTTTTTGTTGTTAAATTAATATTAAATCATAATGCATTGTAAGTTCCAATGGCATTGAAATCGATTTGAACATAGAATATTTTAAATTTAAATTTCAATAATAATCTAAAAAACAAAAAAATAATAATAAATTAATAAAGTTAAATATAATAATTTATATATTCGTATCGTGTAAAATAAGTATTCGTATCATATTTTATATAAAAATTATGTATTATAATTCATATTGATACGAAAATATGAAATATAATTTTTTTGTTTTATTAAATTTATATATAATTATTACTATAATTTTAAATCATATTATATTCATATCGTAATTTTATATCATATTTATATTATATCATTATATCATATTTTAAATTAATAAACCTAAATAAAATTTTAAAATATCAATTACTGCCTACCAAACATCATCACCACATGAACAAAGCCATGATCCACATTAATTAATCTTCATTTAGTACTTAATCTCAGCCCATTAAGCAAAACCAAAGGTTACAAGGACACCTTTTTCTCGGCTCATGTGAGCCATACAAAAACATGGTTGGATTGGCCACATGCTCTTAGAATCTAGCTACATGGCCCCTTCCTTCTCTCTTGAATTCTTCTCTTTTTTCTATACAATATGCAATGAAATAATCACCCAATAATTCTGGCTGCTTTTCCCCAATATGAAATAAAACAAGGAAACAAAGTTTATAGTTCTAATGCATGGTTTGGTCAATGTTTATACAAAGAAAGGAAATGTGAAAAGAAAACGAAAAGAAAAACTATGGATTTCTTTTCTTTTGTGATGCTCTCTTTTTTTTTTTTTTTTTTCTTTTTGCAAAGTTAAATATTGTTGGGTATTCGAAAAGAGAATATATAGTGGATATTGACGTATTGTTGAACTTATTGCTAGGTTTTGTCAATCATGAAACCAATAATCGGATGAAAAATTTCTTTCTCTTCTTATAATGTACGTAGCAATCCTAGATCATCCTATAGCATGCAAGATTCTAATAATCTTTTACAATTTTATTAAAAAATTTTTTGGGAGGTCGTGGCCTTTATCTCTCTTTTGATTACGCCCTTAATTATTTATGTGTATGAAGTTTAAGACTTTTTCGTAAATTATGGTGTCGTTTGTATAAAATAAACATTGATTTTTATATAATATATAGTATATAAAACTTTTAACTTTACTTTTCTTTTTATAAAGTGTAATTAGGCCTGACCTTATATGAGTCAAGTATGAGTAATGGTAGCATTAGTTAAAAAGTTGGGTGGCCATGGCACGGTTTGAATCTCTAGCCAATTAAAGTAGCTCTGATTAGTCCTAGCCACTTTAAATTTTGAGACGCAACTTGGCACACGCGTGATAATGTCATTTTCAAAGCGCCGCATTAAAATTTTTCTTGTGTTTTGTTTTGATTATTGATTGCCTAATCGGATTAGATGACGTTTGTTAAATAAAATTCATAAAATTTATTATTAAAAATAATTAAATTAAAATTGATAAATTAAAAAATTTTATTACATAAATTAATTATATAAAAATTTAAAAAAATTTAATATATTTTTATATAAATATTTTTAATAAAAAATTTTTCGTTAAATAAATAACGATAAAATTTAAATTATAAATAATATTTTTAATAATATTTTATATATTATTGATTTTTTTCATTAAATTTTATTAATTTATCGATTTTAATTTTTTTTAATTTCATAAAATTTACTTAAAAAATTTTATGTAAATTTTGTCTCTAACATGATATTGCCACTAGTCTACAAGCTACCCTCCATATAATTAAAAGATTAATAAATTAAGGAGAAGAAAAACAAAGCTTTAGTTCCACAAGTGCTTTACGGAACCATGATTAAAAACATTAATTAGATTATGACTAAATCTAATCGCGGTATTAAAAAGACAAAAATAGGCAATTGTCAAATGAGCTTTGAAAAAGGAGAGATCATGTTGATCGTATTATTTTGTTTTGTTGGTTATGAATATCTTGGGAGATGGGAAGTGCAAAATAGTTATGGGAATCTTAAGAAAATTAGAGCCTCTATCTTTCTATATAAAAATCTAAGTTTAATTCATGGAGCCCATTGGCCAATTAATTTCCTGTTGGCTTTTTCTTCTTCATTTTTGTATATAAAAGGGAAAGTGCTTAGCTCAAATTTCCATTTTTCGACCTGTTTGGTGCTTGGTGGCTGTCTCTTTGCTCATACGAGTTATTGGAGGCATGACATCTTTAGGAAAATGAAACAGGGGCTTACATAAATTTAATTCCACTTTGATTGTGGTTGTGCGGTGGGAGAATTTTAATTGTATCGTATTTATATTTTATTATTAAAATTTTTAAAATTTAATGACCATAACGGCATGTATGTGATGAGTAATTTTTTATTGATTATTTAAATAAATTCTAAATTTTTAATACTTTCAACTTTTACTGTAATTTTTTTTTATTATAATTCTTTTGATTTTTGCTTACGATGAAGTTTTTAAATTTAACTTGCAAATCTGAGTTAAAAGGGAGATAAAATTGGAGATGAATTTATGGGAAATTCAAACAAAATTTATAAAATTTGAGAATAGATAAGTGTAAGAGATAATAATAATTCGGATCAAATTAAATTTAATTTAATTTTTTAAATAATGCATAATTTATAAATTTTGATTTAAATTCAAACAAATTTTTTTTCTAAATCAATTCAACCCACATCAAATTTAACTGATTTGGTTCATTAGTTTTTAAATTTTTATATATTATTTTAATAAAAATTTTAATATATTTAAATAAATTTATATATATAATAATTATTTTGTTTTATAAAAATTAGTAAAAATGTATATTTCGATTTTATTTTTTTTATTTTTACAATATAAAATTTAATACAAACTTAATACATATTTAATATCTAATCTTAATATAAACTGAATAAAAAAATCAAATTTAATACAAATCAAATCAAATACTATAATTTTAAATTAATTTTTAATTTTCTCTTTTTTTTTTTTTTCTAGACAATCCTAAGAATTAAAAATATTGAATCGTATCTTCGTTTTTCAGGTAACATGTGATTAAGTACTTGTACCGAAGACATTGTCCCATGCACGTGCGAAAGCTCTCCCACTAAAACAACCTCTCTTAAGAAATCATCTCTTTTTCTTTAACTTTTCATTCCATTATTTCTTTTTCTTTACTTTTTAAGTCTATCTTTCCATCACTTGCTAGCCTTTACCTATTTTTTTTTTCATATATTTAATCAGCTTTTTAATTATATTTTTTTCTCCCCTTTTGTCATTCTTTTTTGTGTTCCAATCTGATGGGATGTCCTTTTTTTTTTTGCTTTCTTTGCTTCTCTTTCCACATGCTTTGAACAATTGTGATCTCACAAACACAATGGCAATGGATAATTACTACTCCTATCTTTTATATGTAGCCTTTTATTGATTTATGATGAGAAATATTTTGGAAATGATAATTTGGGTATAGATTAATTTGATAAAAATGTAGCTACAAAATTAAATTATGTACAAACATTTGTACAAGATCCATTTTAAAAAGAACAGCATTGAGATGAATCGAAGAATCATTAGCTCAAAATTTTATGAGTTCTTGGGGTTTGATATTGAAAATAGCGGTAAAAAGATTAATTGCTATAAAGATGAAATTAACTATTATAATAATAAAAATAAAATTAATTGTAGATATATATATATATATATATTTAGATGCAAACATTACTTTTAATAAGAGAGTGGACTCATAATTAAAGATTTTCTTATGTTCAATTTTGAACTAAAATAGTAGATTGCTATAAATAAAGCAATTGGTTGTCCAAACATCTAGTAAATTATTTGAAACATAATTATTAATTTTGTTTCGATACTGATTATATCGATTGGTACATTCCAAATATATCAAAATAAAGTACATCGAAGGATAATTTTTTATATCAGATATTTTTATTAGTTCAACCTATTTTGGTGAATTTCGATAAAGAAAATATTTCGATGAATATGTGAATGTGAAATATATATTTTTAATTTTTAATTTATTTTTTGTTATTTAATTATTTTTAACCTAATAAAAATAAAATTAATTAACAAAATAATCCTTACAAGTTGAGTTTCTTTATTTTTTATTTTTTTATACTTTATTTTTTCAAATCAAAATTTATAAATATTTTAATTTTTTTTAAGAAAATAATTATACTCCTTTTATAAAGTTTAATAATCATAAAACCTTAGTTAATTGTTTCATCTCTTTATTTTTATCTTAATATTTATATGAAAAATACTTATTTATATTGAAATATTGACTCAAATCTCATAAGAGATTTGTTTTGGATTTGTTTGGGATTTGTTAGAGATTTGTTAGATATTGCTTGATGGACAAGAAGACTTGTAAAAGAATAATTCTAAGAGAAAGAAGATTCTTAATAGGTAAGTTTGACTTGCAAAAAAAGAATTTTAAAAAGAAAGAGATTCTTAATAGGTAAGTTTGACTTACAAGAGAAGAATTCTAAGAGGAAAGGGATTCTTAATGGACAAGTTTGTATGGTTATAAATGGGCGAAGTCTCTATAAGGTTAAGTATGAGAAAAAGATATAAGAGAGTTGTAAGATTTGTGGGATAGACACCCCATAAGAGTATTTGGGCTATACGTCTTATGGATGTGTATGTTTATTTGTGAGTGAACTAAAAGAGACTGAGAAGGTTCACATAAGTATGATGTATGGGAGCATATGGGTATGTGTTTGGTTATGTTGAAAGGGTGCACAAGGGTTTAGTTTGTGTTTATTTGGGTTGAGAATACTCAATAGGATTAGAAGAGATTGAGAGTGTCTTATGAGTATTGATTGTTGAGTGAGATTGATGATTTAATGTATGTTTATAATTCTCTACAACTAGTAGATCTTGTTTCTCATCCGTGGACGTAGGTTGATTAGACCGAACCACGTTAAATTATTATCTCTTGTGTGTTTGATTTATTATTTGATTTCGTTTTCGTTGATGTGATTAAATTGGAGGCTTTTAACTTAACAATTTAAATATCATATGATCAAATTAAATATTTAAAATATAATAAAAAATTTATGATATTATTTTTTATACTTTTAAACTTGTTTATTTTATTTTTGAATATATTTCATATTTATTTTATAAATTATTAATAATATTATAATATATAAATTCATATATATTTATAAATATATTTATATTAAATTAAAAAATATGAAATAATATGTTAAAATAACTTATATCAATATATATAATTTTAAAAAATAAAATAAAAGATTATTCGATATAATATTAACAACCTTGATTTGAACCCTTTCCCCTCCGATTTGAAATTGGAAGGACAGTGCAATAGCCCAACCAAGGGAGAAGTTAGAGGGGCAGGCAAATGCAACGGCCCTACAAAATTTTTTACCGTCATTGTTATATAATGATCAATCTCACTTAATTATTATTTTGATCTTCTCTTTTCTTTTGAAATTATTATTTGACTTTCTTTTTTTTTATCAATTTTCTGCCTTCGTCTCTAGGCCAACCGTAATGCGAAGGTACCATCTAAATTTATTCACGGTATAATTGGCAACCAAAATCCTCTTGGATTATTTAATTTAATTTGCATGTTGCTGCTTAGAAGAAAGAACCATGTGGAGAAGCAGAAGCAGTAGGTCTAGGAGCTGAAACTATTCTAAGACATAGCAAGCTGGACATGTTTGGCTGCATGCAATGGGAAAACATGCTTCTGTTACTACTTATTCTTCATGCAATTCCTACTTATAAAAGTTGTCAATGCTACAATTCACCATTTTTTTCTAATTTTGAATTCTTACTCTTAAACGCTGGTTTGGATTTCACTCCATCTTCAGTGTGATTACGGTAAGTTCACTGCACCACCAATTGAATTTAAATATCAATTTCAAAAAAATTTATAAAATTTTTTTATGAAATTTTTTTTTCAGTCTCTACTACAGAAATTTTTTTAAAAAAAATTTTAGTTACAATAACTTTTATTATTATTTTTAATCACATCCAAACCAATCACTCTGTCCAGGGATAAGAGGTACATAAAACCAACATTACGTAGCTTCATCTGGAAAATAAAAACAAACAGCATTTCAAAGCTGTGAAAATTCCTTTCAACGGTGTCAAAACGTAGGGTCCAAGAACCCATATATCATTTGAATATAGGAGTAACTTAGAAAGTGCTGGTAATTAATTAGAGTAACTCAGATGATTCTTTAATATTTGACATATGAAAGTTTGACTACTTCATTGTATGATAAAAGTAAAGGTCAAGGAATTAAAGGATCAATTCAAGTTTCAAGTCTGCAATCAGCCAGATCATTATCTCATTGCAAATAATCAGAGCAATTCAGATCCCATTAGTTTACAATATCCTTTGAAGCAATCCAGAGTTTTGACTGTTGAATAAATGAACAAAACAAAGGTGTCACCATCCAGTTCACAGCCACATAGTTCCTTACTGTTTAAATTTGATTTTTTTATCAATAAAAGCGTGGAATTTGTCAAACATAATTAAGCAAAAGCCACCATTTCTAAGCTCTTATATATTTTCATGAGGTCAGTCAAACAGAAGAACTGATGTCCAACTACAAGAGCTTTTACAACAACAGACCTATAAGCCATAACAAAGCTTACTTCACATATACTGTGCTTATAACTATATATTACGGTAACAGGGCTTGCATCACATCTCTATAATTAAGCCCCATTTACAAACCAACAACCCGATAAGCACAATCCAACTGTCCTACACTTTAAACTGATTACTCACCACTCCCTAATGATAATCATATCTTAAAAGACTCTGAACCAAAACAAAAGTACTAGTAAACATTAACAATCACTCTTCTCTCTCTTAATCATTTTTATTTTCCTCCCTTTGATTAGTACTGAAACATGCTAGCTGCTGATGCCGTGATAGGCTGATTCAAGTAGGCCAAATTGAGTGGGTTAAGGAAGCTGTCAGCAGGCTCAGTGAAAGCAAGGCTTGTATTATCAGCATAAAAATTACCACCATTGCTGCTATTCAGGAAACTGATGATCTCATTCAAAGACTCTAATCTGTCGCTAAGCTCATTGGCATGAGCTCTAAGCTCATAGTTGTCAGCCTCAACATTCAAGTAATGCTGCATGGTGATGTTTATCCTTGTAATGATCTGATGGTTCTGTTTCCGCAGCTGAGTTACCTGAGCCATGAGATCATCCAAATGCTTCTGCTTCTTCATCCTGGACCTCCTTGCCGATTCTCTGTTTGATATCATTCTCTTCCTTTTCCTTTCATCCATCAATGCCTGCAAGTCCTCATCAGACCCTGAGTTTTGAAGCAAAGTTGATGACCCTGTAGATGTCCCACCGGGGGAAGCCATGGAAATCGCAGATACTTCGAGCAAATTTTTTATTTCTTCTTAACTCAGAGACTCAATCAAGAGAGAGATAATAATAATAATAATAATAATAGCAGGACCCAAATGAAAATAAAATACGCCTTGTAAAGATAAATAATGCAGATATATAGTATTAGCAGTAAATTTATTTATAGATTATAGACTAAGTAGTAGATTAAAGCCAAAATCATGAAACGTAAT